AATATTTCTGTACCTCTCAAAAAGGTCAGCGGTCTAAGACTTGGATTTTAAGTCTAAGACCATTATATCTCATAGCTTCCAAACCCTGCGTGTCCTATTATAGGACTCCTATATATCTTGCTGTCTGAGGGCCTTACTGAGACCGTCTTAGAGTAAGTCTCATTGACATAAAGATATGAAGGATTAGCCAGTCGTGTCGCGCGTACATTCTCTTTCGATTCCAGGAAGCCGAGTGGCAAGGCGGTGCGACGAATACCGATATTCTGTCTACATCCATCTGTCTACAGCAGAACTAGCAATCTGAATCTATTTCTCCACAGCTTAGCTTTGTTGCGTACTCCACAGTAGACTCTACTCTTACCAGATAAACTGACTGTGCGACTCGCTACTAGACTAGTGATAGTATCACTGTGATACCAGTTAGAGGTGAGATGCAGATAGTTAGGAAGACAGTGTCTTCAAGGCAATGCTTGATTTAGTACCAACATTGTTCTGCTAGTTGGAGAAACCTACGAGATAGTTCGAACTCACCACACCGCAAGTGCTCGTTAACAGTAAGCTGCAAAAAGGTGAAGGTGTTGCAAAAGTAAAGGTGTTGACAGAGTACGGGTGTTGTTAAAGTATAGAAGTTGATGAAGTCCTCCATGTTGCATAAAATCCAACGTCTGCAAAACTCATATGTTATGTAAGTTCGTCAAGTACACTTGTTGCAGGTGTTAACGAGTTTGCTATGCAAATGTGTTGGATTTGTCGCCCTGTTGTCAAAGTACCTATGTGATAATTTGACCTGTTGTAGAACAACGCGTTGCTAAATGTCGCGTTGCCGAAGTAAATATTCCTGTTGCGAATGTCGTTGGTGCCGTTGCCATTTCACCGTAGTTGTTATTGTTGGTGTTGTCGAAGTTCACTCACCCTCGCGAATGGTACTTTTCAGATTCAACTGATATCTGTGGCATCATAACCGATAACGCCGCGAACATGGCCAGGTGCAGAGATATTGTAACAAGAAAAGTACAAACACTGTATGTCGTGGCTGTATGTCATACAGCAAATCGCGGTAACAACAGATATTGATCAAGCCCAAGGCTCACGGATGAAATAACATGCATACATGATGGGTGTCTAGCCCACTAAAACGCGCCGCTGGCTAAAAAGTTACTGACGAGTACAGAGCCGAACGGAGATGGCGGAGTGAAGGGCGGCCAGATCTCCACTTGGACGGATCTTATCAACTTCACAAGGAAGCTGCTGAGCATATCTTATATAGAGAGGAAATATAAGGTGATTTAGGGGCTACAGCTTGGATCGGGTTGTCTCAGTTGCTGCTGGTATTGCTATAACCCGAGATTATTCACCTGGGCTAGAGCTTCATGGAACTCCTTGACAAAGCGCATATTTGACGTGCACCTGGCTGGCTCAAGGCGGCGATAGCTTGCACAGTGATTGCGCGTACAACAACGGCGGTTCGCCAGCAGATGAGGTGTTTGGGTGCATCGCCGGATGGGTCGCCTCTTGCGGTGGACGGGATGCTCATGAGGTTCGGCGTCAGCAGTGCGGACTCAGCACAGAGGCCGAGAACGTCTGCGTCGTCGAGTCTTCGTCTGCGCGGGCGTAGGGAATACATCGTGGACCGTTTCTCATCTCAGCGTGCGCGTCACTCACTCTCACCACTCACGCGGCGTGAGATCATGCGCTCTATACTATGATCTCTCCATGATGAATGCCATGCATCTGCAGGAGTTCTGCAGCAAAACTGTGAGGTTTTACTCGCATTCGGTACTTGCTCACATTGGAATGACTGATTCTCCAATAAGAACCGGATTGAACTTTGTCATCCCACGGATGACCTATTTCAACTTGAAATAGGTCAAATTTTCAAGTAGGCTGCTTGCCAGACAACGTCTCATGTAAGGTCTACGATATGGGATTTAACCGAGGAAACTCTCTTGCTAGCGGCTGTGATAGCCATTCGAATTTTGCCACATTGGCCGAGGACTTGCTCATTGTCCATGGATTCCTCACAGTTGTCGCTGAGTAGTCCTGTCCTTAGATATTTCTGTTAGCTGTATAGTTGTTCAAGGTAATGACTCACACGCTTGTCGGCCCTCCGTAACGCTTTTTCGTCAGACGTAGAAGCATTTCAATACACTATTACGTCTCTCTGCGTCCTAATACGTACTACGTCTCCCATCATGGGAGCCCCATGTGGTGTTCCTGAAATCGTGTTCTCTGTTGCCTGCGGCTTGTGTTCTTAGGAGACTTCTCGAGAGTGTTCTCCGGCGAAGTTTCGACAAGTCGTGAAGTGCCTTTCGCTACAACCCTGAGACCATCGGTCTCAGACCAACAGGTGTCACCTGCCAGGTGAGAAAAGTACAGGTTGCCAATGGCAACTTGCCATAATCTGAGGCTAATCCAACTGCTCTGTATGACCGCCAATTTACATAATAATTTTGAGAATATTTTCCTCATTTTACAGAGGGTACCAGGGAGGTCACCGACTAAACTATTGCACATCGGCTGGTCGGCTCAACAGCGACTGTGAAATGAAAGGGTATACTATCACTGATATTACTATGAAGACTACGTGGTCTTGAGAGGCACTTACACGAGATTATGAGTTCGGTTCCATCATCAGAGTATGTTGCGATGTTTATAATTGAATGACCCTTGTCGTTGACAAATTGAGTTGGCAATAGATTGTGTTTGGGAGATTCGCCCTGGTTCGATCCCGGCACCTGTCATTTTAGTGTAATTTCTTTTGTAGTCTTAGAATTTTCAACTATATCGACTTCTATTTTCCATTCCGCTGATTTGAGTTGATTTCAATAACACTCATTCGGCTAACCTAATCGAAACAATACTAGAGTGTCTATATTCCCACTGAGTTTACTTAGCACAAATATCAACTATTCATTTCAATGTCCTCTGATTTTGGTGAGTCTATATACACACCCTGGCCGGCCAGTGGTGGTTCTAACTCTCCCGCTGGCCTTTACTCTAATAACACGTGGCAGCTACCGGCCAAGTTCTATCTCGCATCAAGACTAACTTCAACAACAACGTCGGATGAACTCTCCGAAGAGGGCACGGCTCATCCTGTTGACGATCGAGTTTATAGTGTTGATGGCGATGTTAGTGTTGACGACCCTACGATAGTGACAAGAACTGAATTGAACTCTGAAGCTCTGGAATTCATACCCAGTTCGGTGCTTTCTACTGCTGGTATGCTCAACGCGGATGCGCCTGAGTTTTTTCCAGGGTCGATATCTTATGAAGACAAAAAGAGCGGCATCGGTTTGGACCCGGAAGCGCCCGAGTTCGTACCGGAGTGTTCAGCTGTTGATGATGATGATACTAGTGTGAATTCCCTGATTGCTGACTTGGCGTCGCTGTGGGTTCAAGGGCTCCAGCCGGCCTTCCACGTGGATGATCGTGAGGCATTAAGTGACGACAAATCGGTGCCCATTGAAGAAGGCTCATTGGCCCTCTTATTGGCTGAGATCGCCTCGGACAGCCGACAGGCTGATGAGCTGTAGTCGAGTCTTTTCTTTTTAATACGATGTGCGAGAAACCACTCACAGTGTGTATACGACTACACTTTGATGTTGTGAATATTTTTCTAATGCACTCATTCTCTTGATGTTATTGGGGAAGACCGATGATGCAGACATTTGAATCTGCTATCCAGGCACGAAATCGTGTTTGGTGATTTGTATGAATCTACGAGGACTAACTCGTCGCTGTTGATACCCTTTAGTGGCGAGTGAGGAGGAGTGCCAATCTGCCCTTTTCTATATGCCAACCTCAACTGAATCGCGTTTAGTCGACCTTGGGGTGTGGTAAAGCAGTGC